GCCTATCTCCCCTTTGAATACTGGCAGGTCTGTGCTTTTAGTGTTTGTATAAAACCTACTACACAGCTGGCACATAGCTGACACATAATTCCCTTCCAATGAGTATCTAGTTAACAATAACCTTTTTTCTATAAACAAATATGGGAAAGCTTAGCAATTCAGCACACAAAATAATAAACAAGTCTTGAAGCCGAGTGGTTTGAAAAAACAAAGATCTCTCACAGCCATTTTAATCAGTCCTTCCCAAATTCATCAATGTATTACTGACGATGCATTTGATGTCTGAAGAAATGCAGAGCTACACTGAGTCATACGTTCCATTTTTGTAATTTGTCCTTTCGCTTTTGGTTTTTTTTTTTTTTTTTTTTGCAAGCTAGATTTCCCTCCCCCACTCCAGATCTAGACCTACACTATCCAATCAGGTAGTCACTAGCTACAGGTGGGTATTTAAATTAACCTTAAATGCAATTTAGAGATCAGTTTTTCATTCATACTAGACGCATTCCCAGTGCCCAAAAGCCATGCGTGCCTAATGACTACAGTATTGGGCAGTGCGGAGACAGAACATTTTCATGATCACAGAAAGTTCTACTGGACAGTGCTGGGGACACAATAAATGGACCTCAGAAAACCTCACTTACTTCTTGGCTCCCACGATCCTCGGGCTCCTCTGCTGCTTAAAGGATGTGGGTCCCGGAGTCTAGCAAATCGCAAACACATGAGTGAACGAGTGAATGCTAGGGGCCACGAATCTTGACCACAAAAAGATGAATCCCCTGTGCCCAGATAAAAAGAGGCTCTCCCCGGGCAAACGAAAACAGCGGCAAGACTTTCTAGGAAAAGTGTGCCGTCCCATCTTCTCAAAGCGTCACGGCAGGTGACAACATCACAGCCTCCGTCTCTCCCATCCTCGAAACCGTCCCAGAGAGAGGCTCGAAAAGGAAGGCGAAAAAAAGGAGGACCACGAATATGGGAGCCCCTAGGGGTGTAAAAGGAATAGAAACTACGGGCGATCCGGCGAGGAACTGAGTCCACGGAGGTGGGGGGCGTGCAGGGAGAGCGGGGGCGAAGGGGGCAGGCAGCCCTGACCTGGCACGGTGGGGCCTACGGGGGGCTCTGACAAAACCAACTCTGAGCAAGGAACAAAAGCGAGGCCCGCGTGAGGCGCGCTCCACAGCGCTACCCCTAACGCATAACGGTCAAACCGAGAAACTCACGGCGGGTACTGCACCGAGTCTGGAAGACATCACTCCCTCTCCACGCCTAACAGATTCACCCAAGGGCTCCGGCCAGGCTCACGCCACTTCCGCTCGCTTCTCCTCTCCCGGATGTGGAGTCGGCGCCGCCGAGCCCCGCTCGGAATGTCTACTTCCGCCTGGCAGCTTCCGAGGGGGCTGCGGCCGGGGATGGGGGGAGTCACGTGACAGGTCGCCCCCCTACTCGGAGACCCCGCCCCTGGACGGCGCTGTCGGGGCCCGGGAGCCTGGAGGTGGAGTTTGACCGACTCTCAGAACCCCTCCTCTCCTTCATCCCTTTGAAGTGTTATAGAGCACCCCGATATTAAACGGGTTCCTGGCTGTGGGTCCTCACCCGCGCGCTTTAAAGGGACTTATGAATGCTCTACTACAGACACACACAAAAGGTTAATAAAAGGTTTATTTACAAAAAAAAAAAAAAAAGGTTTATTTACAAGAGAAAAGGAAATAAGGAAAATGTACAACTCAGGGAGAAAATAGGGAAATAAAGTCTTTAATGCGTCCTACCCGATCCGACGACCTGGAAACCCAAAGTCACTCTCAGAGCTGGCCGGACGCTGCGAGCTGGCGGAGAGCCAAAAATGGGGGACCCCAAAGCCCACGTGTCTGCCTTTTGTATCCACCTGGCTGCTTAACCCCACCCTCAGGTCCCAGCCACCTTCCCTTTGGTGGTGATGGGATTTGGAGTTCCCAGTGTCTTTGGCTTTGGCCTGGGGTGGGGGTGGAGTCCACAAAACCTATATGGAATTAGCTTTGGGACATCCTTTTCCCCCTAACAATTCCCCCCTTTCACTTTTTGCCACCATTTCCATGGTGATGAAGAAAAGGATGTCCCAAAGCTAATCAAAAACCTTCCCAAAAACAAAAGCCCAGGACCTGATGGATTTACAAATGAATTCTACCAAAGATTCAGAGATGAATTAGTGCCTATCCTTCACAAACTCTTCCAAAAAATTGAGAAGGAAGGGACAATACCAAACACGTTCTATGAAGCCAACATTACACTAATACCAAAACCGAATAAGGACAACACAAAAAAGGAAAACTACAGGCCAATCTCCCTAATGAACACTGATGCAAAAATCCTCAATAAAATTTTAGCTATCAGAATCCAACAATGTATCCATAAGATAATTCACCACGACCAAGTAGGATTCATTCCAGGGACACAAGGATGGTTTAACATCCGAAAATCAATCAACGTTATCCAACACATCAACAAAAAGAAATATAAAAACCATATGATAATATCAATAGATGCTGAGAAAGCTTTCGACAAAGTGCAACACCCATTCATGATAAAAGCCCTTGAAATTCTTGGGATACAAGGAACATACCTCAACATCATAAAGGCCATCTATGACAAGCCAACAGCCAGTATCATTCTCAATGGTGAAAAGCTGAAAGCAATTCCATTAAGATCTGGAACAAGACAAGGGTGTCCACTCTCACCACTGCTTTTCAATATAATACTGGAAGTCCTAGCCAGAGCAATAAGACAAGAGAAAGACATACAAGGAATCCAAATAGGAAAAGAAGAAGTCAAACTATCACTATTTGCAGATGATATGATAATATACATAGAGAACCCCAAAAACTCCACAGAAAAACTAATTCAACTTATCAATCAATTCAGTAAAGTGGCAGGATACAAAATCAACACGCAAAAGTCAGTAGCCTTCCTATACACAAACAATAAATCTGAAGAAGAAGAAATCAAAAAAACCATCCCTTTTATTATCGAAACAAAAAAAAAATCAAATATTTGGGAATAAATCTAACAAAAGAGGTAAAGGACCTATACAAAGAAAATTATAAAACACTGTTAAAAGAAATAGAAGAAGACACAAAGAAATGGAAAGACATCCCCTGCTCATGGATTGGGAGAATAAACATTATTAAAATGGCCATCCTACCAAAAGCAATATACCGATTCAATGCTATTCCAATCAAAATTTCAATGTCATTCTTCAAAGAAATAGAACAATTATTGATGAAATTCATATGGAATCACCAAAAACCCCAAATAGCCAAAGCTCTACTGAAAAAAAAAGAAGGGAATGGAGGCATCACACTCCCAGACTTCAAACTATACTACAAAGCCATAATCATCAAAACTGCATGGTATTGGAACAAGAACAGACATACAGACCAATGGAATCGAATAGAAAATCCAGAAATAAACCCACAGATTTATGGTCAACTAATCTTTGACAAAGGAGCAAAGACTATGCATTGGAGCAAAGAAAGTTTGTTCAATAAATGGTGCTGGGAAAACTGGGTCGCTACATGCAAAAGAATGAAGCTTGACCACTACCTCACACCATACACAAAAATCAACTCAAAGTGGATTAAAGAACTAGACATAAGACCTGAAACCATAAAATACATAGAAGGAAATATAGGTGAAACACTACGTGATTTGCATATCAAAGACATCTTTACAGACACATGACCCAAAGCAGTGATAGTGAAGGCAAAGATAAACAGCTGGGACTACATCAAATTAAAGAGCTTCTGCACAGCAAAAGAGACAATAACAAAAACAAAGAGAAACCCCACCAACTGGGAGAACATTTTTGCACCCAACACTAATGATAAAGGACTGATCACAAAAATCTGCAAAGAGCTGATGAAACTCAACAACAACAAAGAAAATACTCCAGTCAAAAAATGGGCAGAAGAGCTAAAAAGAAACTTCTCTGAAGAGGAAATGCAAATGGCCAACAGACATATGAAAAAATGTTCAACATCACTTGTCATCAGGGAAATGCAAATCAAAACTACCATGAGATACCATCTTACACCAGTGAGAATGGCACATATTAAAAAAACTAGCAACAACAAATGTTGGCGAGGGTGTGGAGAAAAAGGAACTCTTCTGTACTGTTGGTGGGAGTGCAAACTGGTCCAACCACTATGGAGAGCTGTGTGGAGATTTCTGGACCTACTAAACATAGAGCTTCCATATGATCCAGCAATTCCACTCCTAGGTATTTACCCAAAGGACACAGAAACATCAATTCCAAAGAACACCTGCACCCCTTTGTTTATAGCAGCACTATTTACAATAGCTAAGCTTTGGAAACAGCCCAAATGCCCAAAAATAGATGACTGGATCAAGAAGATGTGGTACATATATACCATGGAATATTACTCAGCATTCAAAAAAGATAAACACATGCAATTTGCAGCAACATGGATGGCGCTGGAAGGGATCATGCTCAGCAAAATAAGCCAAAAAGAAAAAGAAAAATACCGGATGGTCTCACTCATAGCAGGAATCTAGAAAACTTAAATAAGGGATCAGGAAAAAGAATAACTATAAGAAAGTGAAAATCAAAATCAACAAAAAACTATGAACCAGAGACACTTTTTGGGGGTGGGGGCCGGGAGGGGAGGGATTAGGGTCAGAATGGGGCATGTGCAGTTGTATGGGAGAATATAAAAATAAAATTTATTATTTAATAAAATAAAAAAAAATTAATAAAAAAAAGAAAGTAAAAAAAAAAAAAGACTTTATTTCCCTATTTTCTCCCTGAGTTGTACATTTTCCTTATTTTCTTTTCTCTTGTAAATAAACCTTTTATTAACCTTTTGTGTGTGTCTGTAGTAGAGTATTCATAAGTCCCTTTAAAGCGCGCGGGTGAGGACCCACAGCCAGGAACCCGTTTAATATCGGGGCTGCTCTATAACAGAAGGACCCTGAGTAGCCCCCCACCCTCCATTCTCCACCAGGCACATGAGTGGTCTTACTACAGGCACACAGAGATCAGTTCTTGCCCCTTTATTTATCATAGAGATATTACAGATCCATTTATACCGCCACCGCCCCTCTTCAAAGTAAAGACTAGAAGCTCTTTCATTGCTGAGGGCATAGGAATTGAAAGGCAGTGGTTAAGCAGGAGGTATGCCATGGAAGGACAGCTTGGTGAAGACCTGATCGAGTCAATGACTAATGGGGGCGGATCTACAGTCAGGCCTCCAAACTCGCCCAGCTTTGGGGTTTTCTTGTGTGGTCCCGAGAGGACATGTTTGGATAACTCTTGAAAACTTTAGATAAGCTATGTCTGGGCCTCTCCCTAGAGGGACTGTGCTTGAGTCTCTCCTTCCGTGGACTGTGGCGGGTTCTCTCAGATAGACTGTGTCCGCTCCTCTCAGAGTGACTGCGCCCTCTCCTCTCAGAGCGACTGTGTCCACTCCTCTCAGAGTGACTGCGCCCTCTCCTCTCAGAGTGACTGTGTCCACTCCTCTCAGAGTGACTGCGCCCTCTCCTCTCAGAGTGACTGTGTCCACTCCTCTCAGAGTGACTGCGCCCTCTCCTCTCAGAGTGACTGTGTCCACTCCTCTCAGAGTGACTGCGCCCTTGCCTCTCAGAGTGGCTGCGTCCACTCCTCTCAGAGTGACTGCGTCCGCTCCTCTCAGAGTGACAGCGTCCGCTCCTCTCAGAGTGACTGCGTCCGCTCCTCTCAGAGTGACTGCGTCCGCTCCTCTCAGAGTGACAGCGTCTGCTCCTCTCAGAGTGACTGCGTCCGCTCCTCTCAGAGTGACTCTGTCTGCCCCTCTCAAAGAGACTTCCAAGGCTCCTTTCAGAGGATCTGTGCCGTATTTTCTCAGGACTGTTAAGGGTTTTCTCAGAGGAAGTATGGTGGATTTTCTCAGAAGGACTGCGACACCTCCTCTCAGAAGGACTGCGACATCTCCTCTCAGAAGGACTCCGACACCTCCTCTCAGAGGGACTGCGATATCTCCTCTCAGGAACACTATGACATCTCTCAGAGGGACTGTGATGGCTTCTCTGAGAGTGACTAGAATGACTCCTCTGAGAGCGACTGGGATGGCTCCTCCGAGAGGGACTGGGACGGCTCCTCTGAGGGGCACTGGGATGGCTCCTCTGAGGGCGACTGGGATGGCTCCTCTGAGGGTGACTGGGGCGGCTCCTCTGAGGGGCACTGGGATGGCTTCTCTCAGAAACATTATATTGGCTCCTCTCAGAGGAATTACATGGGGTTCTTTCCTTATAAAAGCTGTGGTGGTTTTGTTCCTTGTGTGTGAGTTTCTTTTTAAGATGATTGTGTGAGGTTCTCTTCATAGGAAAACCATGTAGGATTCTCCCTTGGCCCCGAACTCTGGTTCCTGTTTTGGAGTTCTTGGACTCCTGCCTAGAAATTTCATTTCCGTAAACCTTTTTCTTAACTCTGCCACTGTCATGCTGAACCATTCCCGAATGCTGTTTGACTGAGATGTTTTGGAAAGTGGTACTTCTTTGGGAAGCTGTGGGCTTGGGTCTTTGGATAAGTCTGGATTGGAAAGAGCTCTCTCTTTTTGATGGTTGAACTGATCTGAAATGGTCTGTTCCTTCCCACAACATGCTTTGCTGCTTAGGGGTTGAGTCCGTTGGGTTTCGATTGACAACTGACATCCTATCTCTTTTGTTATCACTTGATAAGCAATAGTCTCTGGCTTTTTGTCTTGGATGGTAGCTTTTGCTTTGCCATAAATGGTCTGGCCTTGTCCTGTTCTCAGGCTTCTGTCCAACAACAGCCACAATTCTGTGTGCTTTTTGGAATGCCTGCTTTAGGCCCCAAAAAAGCATTTGAATGAATTTAGGTTGCTTAGGTTGGCTTTCTAAAGAGGCAGAAGTAGTCTTAGATGCTCCACTCTTCTTCCTTTTTAACTGGGCTGGTAGTTCCCTAGTGGCGCTCTGTATTGTGGTTCTACTCTTTATGTATGGCTTTTTAGCTGGTGTTCTAACTCCCTTGGTGAATCTCTTCTTTGGATATTTTGATTTAGATGTCTTTTTGCTTCTCACTTTAGCCTGTTTTTCAACCTGATTGCTTTCAGAGTCACTTTCTGGTAGAGCATGAATGTGAGTGAATTCATAGGGCCTACGCTTTCCAATTTCTGTCTTTCCTACTAGGTCAGGTCTACCACTTTGCCTTCTCCTGATGTGGACTTGTACAGGAGGAGGAGAATGAGAAGACCCAGAACGGAAATCTACCGTTGAAGTAGTACTTTTGGACACTCGAGTACGGGTTTTAGTTTTACTTAGCGATGGGGATGTAGAACTCTTTGATGAAATGCGTCTATCTTTTCTGTGATACTTTGGGACTTGGGGTCTTTTCCCAGTTCGCAACCTAAAGCCAAGATGCAACCTAATCTCTCCATGGCCTTCAGGAGTGCGTACAAGGTGGAGCTGTGGATAGATAAGAAGGTAAGGCCCAAAAGTGGCCTGTAATTTATGACAGCAGTTAAATCCTGAACATCGGCCACACTGTAAGCAGATAGGGTATTTTAGGACCAGACCTGTAGCTAGAGGTGGAGGAATGTTGGAGGGTATTAGAACCCTTAACAGTTTTGCTGCTATTTTTAGCTGCAGGTCTTGCAGCAGCTGGAATTGTTCTGAGAAGTCATTTGTGGCCTGGGGATGATAACTTGACTTGAGAGACTGATGGGACTCAAAAATTCTTCTCTGTAAATCACTATGTGAGTTCTCACTCCCTCCCACTGTAATATGATCTTTGCTAGTGAAAAATACATTGAAGAAAGACTCTGTATTGACTGAGACAGGATACTGGCCCTCTGTATATGAAATAGGCATGTGCTGAATGACTTCCTGGGACATATCACTTAGCTTTGTGTTTGTTTTCTTTATTTTCATTCTAGTCCCGGAGTATTGCCGTATTATGGAGGACAGAGAGCCACGTGTCCACATCCTTAAGGTCATTCTTTTATCGTGACCATGGCTGGAGGTATGTCTCTGAATGTGGTTTTTGACCACTGAAGGCTGAGAAATAGCAACTTGATCCTTCTCTAGTGGAATATGGGAAAATTCCATCAGTTCAGCTGGAACCCCAAACAAATTCTGAGTAGATTGAAAGGTATCCACAGTGTCTCTCTCTGTTAAAGACATTTGAGAGTAAAACTCCCTTTCCATAGTAGTACCTAAGATATTCCCCAGCGTTAGCATAGTGGAGAGATACTTTCTAGGTATTCGTTGCCTGCAGGAGTGATTCTCCCAGACATTCTGTTGTCTTCCCAAAGCAGACGAAGTAAGACCCTTTTGTGTCCCTGATCTAGTGTGAAAGGTACTAGATGGAAATCTCCAGCTTCGTGGTGGATGTTGGGAGATGCTCTGAAGTGAGTTCTTTAGCTCTTCCACCTGCTTCCTCTCAGTCCTCTCCTTGGATATGACATCCATACCTGGGATCTCAGGATGTGTGGTTTCTACGGTATTTGCTGTCTTATCAGAGGGTTGATTATGAAGCATCAAGGGAAGGGTTAGAGATTGTAACATAAAAGGATCCATGAAGGACTCTTCAGGCTGCAAAATATCTTTCTCAAGTTCTTTTGTGTGTAAAGTTCTTGATCCTTCTGGCATCTCAGAATCCAAAAGACCTCCAAATTCAGATCTTGAGATGAGTGAGTTTGAAGAGCTCTGTAGAAACCTAGAGAAGAAATTCCCTATTTGTATCTCTTCTGATGCTAACTCCCCAGATTCTCCATTCTGATATCTCTGTCCAAGATTCAAATCCTCAGATTCCATGACTTGAGGAAGCCCTGTTTTTCTTCCTAAAGACTTCACAGGCTGGAGGTTTTCTTTATGAGTCAACACTGTAAATTCTGCAAATGGAAATGTTGGCTGTGAGGTAAATTCTGCTGATTTCACTTCAGTTTTTGAGCTTGGAATTAATTCTACAGGTCCTGTTTTTTCTTGAAGATGTGGCTTGGGGAGTAAATCCAAACAATCTGTTACTTCAAGCCCCAATTTTAGGGTTACTCCTATCGGTTCTACAACCTGAGGGGTTGGTCCTGGTGCTAATTTCTCAGATTTTACAATTTGAAGTGATGGCCCAGGGATTAACACACTCTTTACAATTTGAAACCCTGTCAACTTCATTATTTCCAAAATCTGGTGTGTTGGTTGTCTGATTGATGGCTTACATTTCACATTTTGCAAACATGACTCTGCGGTGCCTACATTTTGCAGTTTTGAAGTAGACTTAACATATTCTACCATTTGAGAGGCTACTCGTGGCATTAATGCCACAGACTTCACAACTTGAAATGGTGGTCCTGGGGTCACTTTCACAGATTCAACAACTTTTTGGGGAGCTGCTGGAGTTGCCTGTATTGAATGAGCAACGTGATGCTGTGTCACTGCATTTTGTGTGAATTGATGTAGTGACTTTGGACTAATCCTTTTCAATTCTACGTTTTGATCCAGTGGTCCTTGGGCTATCTCTGAATTTGTTATACGTTGTTTCTGTAACTCTGTCAGTGGTATTGATCTCTTCCCTCGCTGCCATGTTTCAGAAATGAGCTCTGCAGACTGTACATGCCCTAAAAATTGACCTGTTTGCCTTGGAGGCAACTCTAAAGACTCCTCCTTTTGAAGCCATTGCTTAGAGGTTAAACCCACAGATTCTGGTACTTGATGTCCTAACCCTAATATTATATCTGAAGATCCCAAATGATGTTGTGACTTTGGGATCAAAGTCATAGGTTCCTCCACTTGCAGCCCTGTATCTGAGGTCAACTCCACTGATTCAGGAACTTGATGTCCAAGCCCTGGTATCATCTGTGAAGATTCTGGGACATGATGTAATGTCTTTGTAATCAATGCTACAAATTCTTCCCTTTGCAATCTTTCCTCTGACATTCTCTCTGTAGGTTCTAAGGCTTCAGGATAGGACCTTGGAGATCTCTTTCTATAACTAGTGGTTTTACTTATTGGCTTTGACTTTGGGATCATTCCAAGGAATTCTTCCTTTTGCAGCCTTGCCTCAGAAGTCAACTCCATGGGCTGTGTAACAAGATGCTTGGATTCTGAAGTCATTTCTCTAGAATCCACAACTTGTTGCAGTGGCCTCATATATAACTCCCCCAAATCTGTAACTTGAGACTCTAACTGAGAAAGCAACTCCAGAGTTTCTGGGGCTTGATAGCTTTTCTCTGAGGTTAATTTAAAGAAATTTAAATCCTCATTCATTTGCACTGGAGTCATGCCAACAAATTCTGGTACTTGGAAATCTAACTCTAGAGGCAACCCTGAAGATTTCATAGCTTTACCTGATATCTCTACAGTTTCAGTGCTTTGATATGCCAACCTTTGTGCCATCTCTGAAGATTCTGAGGTGTGAATAGTTAGTGAATTCAAATTCACAGATTTAGGGACTTGATGCCTTGGCTTTGGGATCATCTCTGCATATTCTACATAGTCTGTGCTTTGATAGTTTATTCTTGGATTCACTCTTTGAGGCAGTGACCCTGGTGTTAACTCCACAGATTTTGGAGTTTGTTTCAGAGACACTGAAGACAATTCCACATGTCTTATGCTTTGCAACTTTGGGTTTGGAATTAACTCCAAAGATTTCATGCCTTGTGATTCTGGTGACATATTTGAAAGTTTGACACTAGTCAACATTGGTCCAGATATGAATTTCTTAGTTGACTCTGATGTCATCACCACTGATTCCATACCTTGCCATCCTGAAGTCAACTCTTGGCAATTCATACCTTGCTGTTGGGACCCTGGTATCAACTCTACATGTTTTGCACCTTGAAAAGATGACTCGGGCACAGAGGCTTCAGATTGAATGCACTGTGATGTGAGGCATGATGACAACCCTAAAGAATTTTGAGGTTGTGTCTGTAGATTTGACATCATAGATTTCACATCTTGAGAAGATGGCTCTGATCCAAACACCATTAATTTCTGCCTGAGGTAAGAATTCAGCTTCTTAGAGTTCACATCTTGAGGTTGTAGCTGTGCTTTCAACTCCAGAGATTTCACATCTTCAATATTTGACTCTGGTGCAAACACTACAGACCTCACATTATGTTGCCTGAGGTGTGAGGGTAACTCTTTAGAATTCACGAGTCCAGTATGTGGCCCTGAACTTAACCCCACAGATAACCCTTGCTTTAAACACGACTCTAATGCAGATACCTCACATTTTATGCCTTGCAACTCAGGGCCTGAAATCATTTTCACAGAACTGGCACCACAAAGCAATGGTTCTTTTCCCATCTTCACAGACTTTGTATCTTCCACTAGTGGCTCTGATAAAAATGCTCTAGATCTCACAGCCCTTAACTGAGGGCTTGAAGTGAGCACAGATTGTACAACTTGTTGCTGTGACCCAAGGTGGTTCTCCAAAAATTGAACTTCTGGAAAATTGGTTGCTGAAGTTAACTCTGAAGAATTTACATCATGAAAATGTGCTCCAGGGTTGAACAGAAGAGATGAACCTTGACATTCTGTCCCAGTGTTCAATTCAGAGGGTTTCATACCTTGCACCTGTGATCCTGGATTAAATCTAATGGAATTTATGTATTGATGTTCTGACCCTGAATTCAACTCAGAAAAATTTGCATCTTGTAGCTGTGGCCCGGAGTTGAGCTCCTTCGATGATATACCTTGAAATTTTGTTCCTAGAACCAAGTCATTTTGTATATCTTGTAAATAATTCACAAGGTCAGATATAGCAGATTTTATATCTTCAAGTTCTGACCCTGGATTCAAATCAGAAGATGTCATATCATTATATTTTGTCCCTGAAGTCAACTGGGAAGATTTTATACCTTGCAAGGGTGGTCCATGTTTACAGCTCCTAGAATTCACACTCTGTAATTTGGAACCTGGATTCAACTCTGAAGAATTTGCACGCTGTATCTGTGGCCCAGGGTTGCATTCCTTCAGTGCTACACCTTGAAACTTTGACTCTGGATTCAATGTAGATTTCAGAACTTGACAGTGTGGTCCACATAGATGGTTAAACATAGATGTCTCATTTTGAGTCTCTGTCCCTGCATTCACCTTTGATTTCTTATCTTGAAATTTTGCCCCTGAAGTCAACTCAAAAGATTTTACACCTTGCAAGGATGGCCCATGTTTGCAGCCCCTATTCATATTCTGTAATTTGGGCCCTGAATTCAACTCAAAAGAATTTGCACACTGCATCTGCATCTGTGGCCCAGGGTTGCATTCTCTTGATGCTACACATTGAAATTTTGACTCTGGATTCAATGTAGATTTCAAACCTTGACAGTGTGGCCCAGGGTTACATTCAGTAGAATTTACACACTGAGGTTTTGGTTCTGGAATCAATGCAGAAGAATTCACACCTTGCAACTGTGGCCCAGGGTTGAAATGTATATACTGAAGTTGTGGTCCTGGATTCATTCCAGAGGATTTTCCACCTTGTAATTTAAGCTTATTCTTGAATTTCAAAAATTGTTCATTTGGAAGTTTTATCTTTGTGCTCAACTCAGATTTCATCTCTTGCAACTGTTGATCAGGATTGAATTTCATAGATTTCACATTTTGAAGTTTTGTCGCTTTGCATGTGTCTGAAAATTTTATATGTTGCAAATGTGGTCCAGGATTGAACACCATCATTTTTACACTTTCACGTTCTGGCCACAGATTCAAATTACAAGATTTCTCATCTTGCCATTGCTTTGCAGCATTGAATTCAGAAGATATCACATCCTCAATCTTTGATTTCAAGGCCAACTCTAAGGGTTTTGCCATCTGAAAGTTTGGGCCATGCTTGACTTCTGTAGAGTTCTTTATTTGAAGTGTCATCAACTTAGAAGATTTTGAATCTTGCAGCTTTGTCCCAGGGCTGAATTCCATAGATTTCACACTTTGAAGTTGTGTCCCTGGTGTCAACATAGACAGTTTCCCTCCTTGTAACTGTGGGGCTGAGTTGGACTCCAAAGACTTCATATTTTCTATCCCTGTACCTGGTGGCAATTGAAAAGATTTCCTGTCTTGCTCTATTGGCCTGGTGTTGAACTCCACAGATTCTCCACTTTGAAGTTTTGTCTTTGGTGTTAACTCAGATGTCACACATTGTAACTCTGGGATGGGTTTTAACTCAACAGATTTCAAATCTTGAAGCCTCCCTTCTACCATCAAATCAGATTTCTCATTTTGTCTCTGTGATGCGGGGTTGAACTCTACAGATTTCATACCTTGAAGCTTCCTTCTCTGGGTTAAGTCAGAAGATTTCCCATTTTGTAACTCCGGGCTATGGTTGAACTCTAAGAAGGTCACATCTTGAAGCTTTGGTCCCTGACTCAACTCAGAAGACTTTTTACTTTGTGCCTGTGATCCAGAGTTGAAAGCAGATTTCATTTCTTGAAACTTTGTTCCTGGAATCATTTCAGATGACTTCAGACCTTGAAAGTGTGGTCTAGAACTGAATTCCATAGATTTTACATTGTGAAGCTTTATACCCATGATCAGTTCAGAATATTTCATACTTTCTAAGTGTGGACCTGGGTGCAACTCTATGGATTTCACACCGGGAAACTTCTTTTCCTGGGTCACATCAGAAGATTTCTCACCCAGTAACTTTGGATTAGGTTTTAATTCTGCAGATTTCACACCTTGAAGCTTTTCCCTTGGGATACCTTCAAACGATTTGAAGTCATGCAAGTGTGATCTAGACCTGCAATTTATAGTTTTATACCCATGAAGTTTTATACCCATGATCAACCTAGACGATTCCATATCTTGCAACTGTGGGTCAGACTTGAATTCTCCTGATTTTACTTTTTGAAGTTTTGTCTCCAGCGTCAATTCAGAGGATTTCACACCTTGTAACTGTGGCCCAGGTTTGAACTTCACAGATTCCATATCCTGAAACTTTGTGTCTGAGATTAACTTAGAGGATTTTACTCCTTGCAACTGTGACACAGGGTTGAATACCAAGTTCACAGTTTGAAGTTTTGGTCCTAAGATCAGTTCAGAAGATTTCATAACTTGCATCTGGGGATGGAGGTCACATTCTTTACGTATTCCATCTTGAAGCTTTGTCTTTGAGGTTCCTTCAGAACATTTTATACCTTGTAACAATGGCTGCATGTTGAAATCTGAGGGTTTAACACCTTGAGTTTTTGTCCCTAAGGCCAATTTAGAAAATGGTATACCTTGCAACCATGAGCTAGAATTTAACATAGGAGATTTCATACCTTGGTACCTTGTCTCAAGTAGCAATTTAGAGGATTTTCGACCTTGCCACTGTGACTCAGAGTTGAACTCTTCAGATTTCATACCTTGAAGCCTTGTCTGAAGAGTTAAATCAGATGACTTCATGCTTTTCAATTGTTGCGGGCAATTTGACTCTATAGCTTTATTGCTTTGTAATTGTGATCCTTGACTAATTACCCCAGATTTCACCTTAGAAAGCTGTGGCTCTTGAGTAAACACTGGAGATTTCACACCTCGAAGCTGTGTTCCTGGACATGACTGTGAGGGTTTCCCTTCTTGAAGTTGTGGCCCTGGAGTCAACTCAGGAGATTTCCCATTTTGCGACTGAAGCCTTGATTTGAATATGATGGATTTTAAATCACGGAGCTTTGACCTCGAATTTAGATCACATGATTCCATACTCCTGAACTGTAAACAAGTTTTCAAATCAAAACCTTGAGGCTGGTGCTCCTGAAGTGATGCTAAAGATTGTTTACCTTGGGGCTTTGGCCTTGGTGTCAATACAGATGACTTGCTATCTGTTAACTCCATCAAAGGTTTTAACTTTGTAGGCTTGACACACTGAGACTGTGACCTAAGATTTAGCAGAGATTTCACACCTTGAAACTTTGGTCCAGGTATCCACTGAATAGATTTCATACTTCCAACCTGTAGCTCTGGGTTTAACTCCACAGTTTTTACACCATGAAGCTGTGACTGTGAGGTTGATACCAAAAGTTCCCCTTTTTGCAGCTGTGGTCCTGGGGGTAACTCAGGGGATTTTACTCTCTGCAACTGTGGCCCAAGATTCAACTCCTTATATGTTGCACCTTGAATTTTTGGCCCTGGAGTCAATTCAGATGACTTCACGTCTCTTAATTGTATCAAAGATTTTGACTCTGCAGATTTGGCACTTTGACATTGTGACCAAAGATTTAACCCTACAGATTTTATCCCTTGTAACTCGGACATTGGAGTCCACTGAACACATCTCTTATTTTCAAGTTGTGGCTCTTGTTTTAACTCAGGAGTTATGACACCTTGAAGTTGTGGCTCTGAAGACAACTCCAAGGGTTTCACTTGGTGCAATTGTGGTTCAAGTTTGAACTCTTTAGGGTTTACACCTTGAATATTTGATTCTGAAGTCAATTCAAATGATTTAATACCTTTCAACTGTAATTCAAGATTGAGATCTTCTAAATTCCCATCTTTAAATTTTGCCTCTGGAATTAACTTAGAATCTTTCTTCGGTTGTTGTAAATTCACATTTTGCTGCTCTGCAACATCTTGTGGCCTCGGAATTAAATCCATAGGTGTCAGCCCTTGAAATTGTTGTGTTGGGCCTACAGATTTTACTCCTTGATTCTTTTGTCTTCTTATCATATTCACCGATTTTACTATCTGCTTCTTCAGCCTTGGGGTCAACTTCACAGATTTCACATATTGTAGTTCTGAATCTGGAGTCTCCTTTACAGATTTTGAGCTTTGAAGTTTTAAACCTGGAAAATTCTCTACAAATTTCATATCTGACTTTTGTGGTCCTGAAGTCAATTCCTCAGGTTTCATGACTTGCTGGACCTGTGGCTGAGGTGAGAAAGGCACAGTATTCTTCCCTTGCATCTTTGGCCCAAGTTTTGATTCCACAGCTTTCATATATTGCAGTTGTGTCCCTGGGGCCAACTCCAGAGTTTTTAATTCTTGAGGTCTTGAATGCATATGAAACTCAACAGATTTCACACCTTGAAGCTTGGAGTCTGGAGTAGATTTGACATCTTTCTGCATCCTTGAGGTTATCTTGACAGGTTTATTACCCTCTGGCTGTGAACTTGGGGTTAACAATATAGATGTTATATTTTTTATATATTGTCTTAGACTATAGGCCACAGATTTAAAATCTTCTAGCTGTGACTCTGAAGTCAACAACTTGGATTTTAAACCTTGAAATTTTAAAACTGGGGTAAACTCCATAGGTTTTATGTCTTGCAACTGCAGTCCCTGGATCATTTCAGAAGATTGTATACCTTGTGTCTTTGGTCCACTGGTCAACTCACAATAGTTTATACAGGGCAGCTGTGACTCGGGAGTCAACTCTGTAGACTTTGCATCTGGTGTCTGTGGATTAGAGGCTAATTTATCACCTTCAAAGTTTGATGTTTGGTCTACCATTACATATTTTGCACCTTGAAACAGTGGCTGTGGTACTAACATCTCAGGTTTAATCCCTTGCTTCTCAGGTCCTAGGGTCAATGCCATAGTTCTTGTTTCTTGCATCTTGGGCTCTGGAGTCAACTCAAAAAAATTCATACATTGTAGCTGTGGTCTTGAGTTTACCTCTGAAGATCTCACACCTTGAGGTTGAGTTTCTGATGTCAGATTACAAAATTTGACATCATGGAACCATGGTCCTGTGTGAAGTCCCACCTGTCTCATACCTTGAAGTCCTGGAGACATCTTAGGCAATTTAGAATCTTGAAGTCCTAACTCTGGAGTCACCTGCACAGAATTCACACCATGAAACATTGATCCTGGAGTTTGTTCCTCCAATTTGACACCCTGAAACTTTAGCCCAGAAGTCAGTTCAGAAAAGTTGGCATCTTCCTGCCTTTGCCTTAGGTTTAGTTCCTCAGATTTCACACTTTGAAATCCTGTTTCTGACATCAATTTCACAGATTTCGTGCCTTGAAATTGTGATCCTTCAACAGATAGAACAGATTTCATATCTCTAACCGGGAGCCCTTGGCTTAACTGCAAAGATGACTTTGTAGCAAACCTTCCAGGCTTTATATCTCGAAGCTGTGTTACTGGCATAGGCTGTGCATGTTTGAAACTGTGGTGCTTTGGTTCTGAAGTCAAATCAGAAAATTGGACCTCTTGCAAACATGGTCCCAAGTTTAGTTCCACAAATTGAGGTTGTGGTTGTGGTTCTGGAGTCAACTGTACAGATGTCACACATTGAGGCTTTTGCATAATATCTGACAATTTGATTTCTTGCATTGGGAAACCTGGGGTCAATTCATCGGGTTTCATACCATGATGTGAGGGCCCTGAGATTAAATCTACAGGTTTTTCATTTTGAGGAGGTAGCCTGGAAGATAACTTTGAAAATATGATACTTTGCAATGGTGATTCTTGGGTCATTTTCATGTCCTGGAGCTGTGACCCCTCAGTCAATTCCTCTGACATCATACTTTGTAGCACTGGCTTTTGTATCAGCTTCTCAGCTTCCTCCACTCTGGTAGTTGACTGTTGGATTAATTGAACAAATTTCACATCTTGTAATTGTGGCTTTGAATCCAACTGCCCACACTTTAAGACCTGGAGCTGTGGCCCTGATGTCAACTCTGTAACATGTGGTTTTGGTCTTACAGTACGCTGTCTAGAACCTACCACTAATGGGGATGACTCAGAGGTTAATTCCAAAGATTTCAAATGTTGTTGTAGCAGCTCTAATTTTTCTGGTTCTAACAGTCCTTTTTCTGATTGTGGTGCTGGCAGTTCTTCCTGGGGGCTTTCAACTGGAAACAGTGCCAACTCTACAGCTTCTGTGTTTTCATATTCTGACCTTACAGATGTCTTTGATGAGTCAGTAACTTGAAGGTGTGGTCTTAGAGTCATTCCTGATTCTGCTGGTTTTTGTGTTAATGCCTCAGAAGTTTTTGTGTATTGATAGCCTGACCCTGGAATTAGCTCTGAAATTTTTTGAAAATGTGGCCTTGGCATCATATCAGGAGTTTCTAGGACTTGCTCTGGAATCAACTTCACAGGTTCTTCTTTTTGTGGCCACATCTCAGAAGCTAACTCTGCACTTGCGGTTTCTTGATAACTTGGTCTGGAAATGAGACCCACAGATTTCATTGTTTGTAAATGTGGTTTCACTGTCAGTTTTCTTGATTCAATTTGTAGCGATTGTGTCTGGGGAATGAGCCCCCTAGATTCTTCCTGTGGTACAGTTAAATCCACAAAGTTGTCATATATTAACGAACTTTGTGTTAACTCCTCAGGTTTTATTCTTTTGGAGTGTGGTTCTAAGGTCAATGGCACAGACTTCACACTTTCAAATTGTGGTTCTATAATCAGCGGTTCATAGTTCTTAACTTGTGAATGTGGTCTTGGATTCATATAAACAAATTTCTGAGGCTCTGGGGTCAACATCTTTGCTTTCAAACCTTGCATGTTTGGTCCTGGGGATTCTTGTACTGTATGTTGTGACACTGGAGTTTCTGCTGTGAGTTTTTCACTTGGGAGCATTGTCTCAGGAGTATCTTGGAGTGATACTAGGTTTATCTGCATAGATTTCGAAGCGTGGCTTGATCCTAGGGTATTTCCTAAAGAATGTGTCAACCCCACAGATTCTTTTGCCTGGCAACAAGTGTCAGAGGTCAACTTTGTTTCTGTTTTTCTATATCCTGGCTCTGGGATCATTCCTAAAGATTCTGAAGCTTGATGCCATGGGATCAATCCTTCAGGTTCTGTGGATTGGTAGTTTAGTTTGTGTTTTAATTCCGTAGGTTTTACTGCTTGAACATGTCTCCCTGGAATCAACGCCTCATATTTTATACCTGGTATGCATGTCTCTGGACTCAGCTTCCTACATTCGGCCATTTGAGAAGTTTGTACATCTTTAGTCAATAACACTGGCACAACCTCTTCAGATCTTATATCCTGTAACCATGACTTTGGGGCCAACTTCTTAGATTTCATATCTTCTTGTAGTGGCCTTTGTGTCAACTCCACAGTTTTTATGCCTGACCTCTCTGATGGTAGGTCCAAATGAACATGTTCTACACCTTGTGCCTGTGAACTAGGGGTCAAATGTATGGATTTCCTAATTTGCAGTTGTGGTGGTTCAGATTTTACACTTTGCTGTTGTGGTTCTACAGTCAACTGTGTACATTTCTTACCTTGAAGCTGAGACCCTGGGGCTGACTGTACAGATTTTCCTTTTTGCAACTGTGGGGCCAATTCACCAGATTGTATACCCTGAAGCTGAAGTTCTGGGGCCAATTCTATACAGTTCATATTTGGAATCACTTCATGTTTTACCATTTGTGGAGTTGAATCTGTGGTTATGTCTACAAATTTTATATGTTCCAGCTCTGGCCCCAAGGTCAATTTCTCAGATTTTACATTTTGCAATCCTGGAGATAGCACAGTAGAATCCATATCCTTAAGTTGTGGCATTGGTAGCAGTGGCTTCACATCTTGAAGAAGTGATGTAGTGGTCATTACTGCTGGCAGTGGCTTTTGGCTTATTCCCATGGAATCTGTACCTTGACTAAGTGATGTAGGGGTTTTCTCTGAAGGTTTCATAATTTTATGATGTGACTTTGTCCACTCTACAGATTTTTCCCTTTGTAGGCATGTGTCAGAGGTCAGCCCCATAGTTCCTATACCTTGATGCCCTTGTCTTGGGTTCGTCTCTGAACATTCCAATATTTGGTACTGTGGAACCAACCTCAAAGGTTCTGTGACTTGATGAGGTGGCCCTGGAGTTAGTGCTGTAGATTCTGTGCCTTGCTGATGAGTCATTCTCACAGGGTCTAGCCCTTGAATCCTTAACTCAGGAGTTGACTCCAGTGATTCCTCATCTTGAGATATTGGCCTTGGAGTCAAATTCTTAGTTTCGACATCTTGTGACTGTGGAGCTATGATGAATCCCGTGGGTGACTTCAGTGCTACTGGAGTCACCTTCGAAGGACATATGGATTGATGTGATGGCTTTGGAATTACTTCTACAGGCTCCATGACTGTTGGTGATGGCTTTAGAGATAAGTCCACAGATTCTGCTCCAAGTGAACCTACACTAGAACAACTAAAAGTCAAATCATCTGACTGAGGTACCACTGGGGTCAAATTTGCGACTTGAGAATGTGAATCTGGGGTCAAACCCCCAGATTCTATAACCTGTCCCTCTGGTGGTGGAATTATCCCCATGCAATCCATAACTTGTAATAGTGCCACTGGAGTGACGTGATGAGATGGCCTGGAGATTATTTTCAGTGATTCTGTGTTTTGACATATTGACTCTATAGTAATCTTCTTCATTTCTGTGACTTCACTTTGTGGCCTTGCAGTCGTGCCCAAGGATTCTATGACTTTATGCTGTGGCCCTGGGGCCACTTCCAGAGTGTCCATGACTGTATCCTGTGGTATTGGATTCATATTTTCTGGTTGTATGACTTGATTGTCCAACACTGTGTTTGTTTCCACTGACTCCATGGCTTGATATTGTGACCTTGGGGTCATTTCTGATTCTGTGATATGTGGGTGTGATTTTTCTTTCATCCCCATAGAATCCATGACTTGTAGCAGTGCTGCAGGAGTCACCTTCACATTATCTGTGACTTGATCCGGTGGTCTTGAGGTCATCCTTGTTGACTCCACATTTTGATCTGAAAATCTTGGGGTCACCTCTGCTGATTCAGTGACTTGAAATGATGGTTTGGGGCCTATACTCACAGTTTGCATGACTTCCATTTGTTTTTCAACTTTATTTGGTGGCCGTGGGAGCAAATCCACAGAGTCTATCACTTCTGAATGTGATTCTGGGATCATCCCCATTGAATTCATGACTTGAAGTAATGCCATTGGGGTCACCTTAATGCTGTCTGTGACTTGATATGGTTGCCTTGGGGTCAACTCCACATTAGTCACTTGGGTCTTATACTGTTGTATACTTTTTTGTGAAAGACCTATGACCCTTTGCTCTATACTAAGCTCTAGCATGTGTTTTTGGTCTTTCTGCAATAAAGTGGTTTCCTCTTGAATTTTGTCAACTCCTAAACTTTGGGGCGATGGAGTGCCCATTGATGTAACTAAGGGCCCAGATCCAAGGATGTGGGGGCCATCCCCAGGTTGTGACTGCTTACCTGGGATAAGTGACTGTGAATATTTTCTTTCTATTTTATTTAATCCAGATTCTACTCCAATGTTCATGTGGAGCTGAAGTGATGAAAGGTCTGGGGATTTATTGTTGATCTTTCCTTCAGTGCTTTGATGAATGGGCATAGATAACTGGATATGGGGTTTCTCTGGTTCCTCAATTAAATAACTGATCATAGCCCATGATTCCTTCACAGGCAGAGGCAACGTTTGTTTCCGCAAAGTACAAACCTTCCAAGCCATATGTCCCTCTAACTCCCACCTGACCAAAGGAGAGAGCTGGATTGGAGCCCATCCTGGGAAAATAGAACTTAGCCCATGATCTGCATTCAGAAGGTGCTTGCTTCTTCTTATAATCTCTGTTTTCTCTTGTGTTTCATAGACATCTGAGTCTTCAAATATAGAGTCAATGAAAGAGCTTTGTGTTCTTAAAGATGAAAGGGCTGCCAAATCCTGAAAATATTTTGATTTCCCAAGCTCTGAAAGCTGAAAAGAAGTTAGGGATGTGCCTTGGTTCCTGAATATGGAAGGTTGTTTTGGGGGCAATATAGGTAAACTGTGGCTCCGCAATTGCCAGGCTTTTCCTTCAGAAAAGACAGGAAGGTGAGATAGACTGGAGTTGTTGCGTGACAGTCCAGAGGAGATGCCTTGGTCAGTTTGTTTTGCCATCTCACAGTCACAAAAGGGTAGAGCAGGTTCCTGAGCCATAATAACAGAGGAGTTGGAGGAACAAATCAGGCCCTCTGGTCCAGGCAAACACAGTTCCATAAGACTTGATCTAAGAAATAAAGAGATAAGTTTCCATTTGCTTTGTAAGGGAAAAGGAAAAGTGATAAAGGAAAGTTAATGGCCATTTCAAATATAAAATGTTTTGGCCTGAGGGAAAACAACAAAAAGAAAAGGTTTCCTTCCCCCAAACTAATTACTTATGGAAAGAATTCCCTCTCCAGGACTAATGGAAGGCAACTGTCCCCATTTCAATCAGAAATGTTCCATAGACCAGTGGTTCTCACTCACTTTGCATCCAGAACTTTCTCCCACTGCCCAAACTCTCTACTAACTTAATCTTATCTCTTCCTTCTTTGCCGCTCCTGCCCTTTCTTCCTCCCTTCTTTCTTCACGTCTTTCTTTCCACCTTCTTAAAATTTCTACCACCTTCAATCCCCTTCTAGAAACTACATTCCCTGACCTTGCATTTTCCAAGTGTTGGAAGATCTGTTGAATACTCCTGTCCATTGACCAGAGGATATATTCCTGGGTCCAATTCACAGGGATCTCTGAAACACTGGATGCAAAAGAGTATGTCAGTAGTGAAATGATATCAAAGTACTGGTAAAGAAACCAATAAGGAGACTTAACTTAAAAGAAGACAGCTATCATAATGAGATAAGTGAAACAGAGTGCCAGGAATCTTACTGCAAATATTTATAGAGTTTACCACAGAGACTGAAGCAAAAAGGAACAGACACAAGGAGGATCAACTTTACTCACCCTGTCAAGTTAGCTTCAATGCATTCCATCTTGAAATTTTCTTCCCACTGTGGAACTGGGAGTAACAGTAAAGAATTTATTAGCATCGTGACTACTGACATGACCTACCTAGTTCAATCCCCTTATTTTGCAAATAAGAAAACTAAGGTAAAGTCAAGTCCAAGAACATAAAACTAATTAGGGATAGAGCTCAGGCTTAACCTAAGTCTCCAGTTTTTTCTTAAATTATACTCAGTTGTCTCTCATCAGGTAGACGTAAGCCATTAGAAAATGCAAGAGCAATCATGGTGGCAGGGAGCTAGAGTGTGGTAAACAGAGGTCATAATTGTTAACCTAAAGATTCAGGGAACCTTAAAAGGCAAAGTACATTTATCTGGAAGCCAAGAGTTGCAATTTGGGGAGCGTAGATTCAGAACTAAAATGTGTCCTAAGGAGGAAAAAAAAAAAAAAAACAACTGTTTTTTTACAGAGAGAAAAAGAAGAATGAGGAAATGGTCAGGTGAAGGCGTCACAGGTCAAATGGTCATGTAAAAGGGTCAACTGAAGGGGTCACAAGATGAAAGTACTTTAAAGTTCAATGTTAACTTTTTATCAGTCCTTTCAGATAGGATATTCTCATTCTTTCTGACTTAACTAGAATGGTGGCAGTTTGAACCAGCCCATATAAGACAGTTCCTCTGGCATGTCCTGCCCCTACTCTGTTTTAAACTGGTTCTACTCATGTCAACTTTTCACATCATACATATCTTTTTTCTCCAAGAAATCTATCCAGTGTTTATGGTGGGAAAAAATGCTACTGAAACTTCCTGCACCAAACTCTTGTTTCTTACCCCTTTTCCATTCTCCAATCCCACTAAGTTTCTTTTCTGTTACTTTGAGTTTTACATGAAAGAAAGTATGGAAAGAATTATGGACTTGTTTAAATCCCTTTGGAAGTGGAGAAGCTAGATAAAATAGGCATATTTCTTACATTTACAGAATCTTTTTCCAACCTCCCTCTCTCCACCTTCTATTAAAGGCTAGAGTCTTAAGGCTGACCCACAGTTGATTGGTAATTAGCCCGGAACTGAAGAGCAAAGCATAGGATCTTTCTGACCTGTGAATTTCTGGATCTTTTTCAATTTATGCTGCTTTGAGGTCTAGGGAGACACAAAAAGAAAAAAAAAAAAACAAACAAACACTGTGCTAGGTTAAAGACTATTGATAGCAGATTTCATCTTATAGATACAAATATTGATACAATTGGCACCTATAACTACAGCAACAATTACCACCTCATTCATTTATTCATGAATTAATTATTGAGTACTTACTAAGTTCTAGGTATTTGTGGGGTGCTGGGACTACAAAGATGAATATGATCTCCCATTTCAAGGAAATTATACTAGTAGGGAAAACAAATGTCTAAGCAAATATGTTATAATACCACGTGGTAAATATTCTAAATGAAATATAAGTGTTAGGAAATACAGAGGACAGTGGTTAACAACCTCAGAGAGAAGGGGGAAATTCCTCAAGAAGTTGCCATTTAGGGTCTCCCTGGTGGCCTAGGGCTTAAGTCTCAGTGCTATTACCACCATGGCGTGAGTTCAATCCCTGGCCGGGGCACTACCCACATGGCACAGAAGATATCTCCTGTCTCACCCATTGCTCTCTTTAGTAGTACATGTCAGTAGATCTACCTGTTTTGCTCCCGACTCTGTCTCTGGTGAATCCTCTCATACACACCCCCTCCCCGTACCTCTGGGCTATACCCCAGTTCTTATATGCATAAATAAATAAAATAAATACTTTTGAAAAAATTGAAGGTGAAATAGAGAAATTTTCAGTCAAACAAAAATTGAAACAATAGCATATCCAATTCCTTTAGCTAAGCAAACTTTGAATAGTTTCTTAAAATAATTAGGTGAAGGCAACATTATTTTTGTATTTTAAATCAATATAAGAAAACAAATCAATGTAATATACCATACTAATAATACGAAAGAGGAAAAAATGACATGATTATCTTAACTGACACAGAAAAAGCACTTGACAAAATCCAACACCCATTCATGGTAAACTTTCCAGGATTCTGGCAATGCTATCTCTTGATAGGGGTGAAAGTTAATGGGCATATAAATTTATCTTAAAAATAGGGCCTCCCAGGGCCTCCCTGGTGGCACAGGGGTTAAGACGAAACCTATGAAGAAATCCGCAGCCACTGCAGCACAAGTTCGATTCCCGGCCGGCCAGGGAGAAACCCACATGGTGGGACAGATCTCTCCTGTCTCTCCTGCTGCTCCCCTCAGCAGTGTACTTTGGTCCGTCTGCCTGTTCTATTCCCCATGCTGTCTCTGGTGAATCCTCTCACCCCCCTGTGCATCTCTGGCCTGTACCCCAATTCTTGTATAAAAAATAAATAAATGTTTAAAAAAAAAGACTATTACATTTAAAAAAAACAAAAATAATAAAAATAAATAAATAAAATTAAAAATAGGGCCTCCCCGGTGGCGCAGCGGTTGAGCGCTGGGTTGCGAAGCTGCCCACAGCCTCTGCAGCGCCGGTTCGATCCCTGGCTGGAGGAGGGTCCCACATGGCGCGCAGACCTCTCCTGCCTCCCGCTGCTCCCCTCAGCAGTGTACTTCGGTCCTTCTGCCTGCTCTGCTCCCTGCTCTGGCTCTGGTGGATTCTCTCACCCTCCCGAACTTCTGACTGTACCCAGTGCTTGTATAAATAAATAAAAAATAAATAAATCTTAAAAAAATTTTTTTAATTAAAAAATAAAATAAAAAATAAACTAGGCACAGCAAGAGATGAACAATAATAACTGTTCATAAAATAGAATTACCGCAATAAAAAGTTACCAAAACTCATCAAACTGTACACTTAAGACTGTGCGTTTTTCTACACTTAATTATACCTGACTAAAAAGTATTACCTGTTAAAAAGCATTTTCTAATATAAATATGTATGTATTGAATAATTTGCTTTCATGACTCAGTGACTAGAATTCTTGCATATTGCACGTCAAAAATCAGTTCTTCATTTTTTGTAATTAAAAAATTATTTTTTTTTAAATTTTAGTTTCCTAAACTCCCTTCATTTACCAATACTTTTAATTCTTTTTTTTTTATAGAGGCATGTTTTATTTATTTGTTTGTTTATTTGTTTGTTTATGCAAGCACTGGGTACAGTCAGAAGCGCGGGAGGGTGAGAGAATTCACCAGAGCCAGAGCGGGGAGCAGAGCAGGCAGAAGGACCGAAGTACACTGCTGAGGGGAGCAGCGGGAGGCAGGAGAGGTCTGCGCGCCATGTGGGACCCTCCTCCGGTGGCCGGGCAGCAGCCGGGGATTGAACCGGAGGCGCAGAGGCCGCGGGCAGCTTCGCAACCCAGTGCTCAACCGCTGCGCCACCGGGGAGGCCCTAAAAAATTATTTTTATATGATAAGAGAAAGAAGCAGCCTTCAGGATGTTATTCATTTTTTTACACTACACTTTGTTTTTATTGTTGTCTCCTTTTGGGAAAGAAACTGTTTCCCCCTCTCCAGGAAGATAAGCCAGGCTTTTGTTCCAACTTTCTTTGATTGTGTTAATTGATAGCAAGGAATTAGTTTTACTCTGTTGAAAAAAAAAATTGTCAAGAACCGACTGGGCGGGCCTCCCCGGTGGCGCAGCATTTGAGCGCTGGGTTGCGAGGATGCCCGCGGCCTCTTCAGCGCCGGTTCGATCCCCGGCTGCTCCCCGGCCACCGGAGGAGGGTCCCACATGGCGCGGAGACCTCTCCTGCCGCCCTCTGCTCCCCTCAGCAGTGTACTTCGGTCCTTCTGCCTGCTCTGCTCCCCGCTCTGGCTCTGGTGAATTCTCTCACCCTCCCGCGCTTCTGACTGTACCCAGTGCATGTATAAACAAAACAAACAAAACAAATAAATAAATAAAACATGCCTCTATTAAAAAAAAAAAAAAAGAACCGACTGGGCCTGTGGAGGATTTTTTTTTTTTAAGATTTATTTATTTATGCATACAAGAACTGGGGTATAGGCCAGAAGCTCGGAGGGTGAGAGGATCCGCCAGAGATAGAGTGAGGAACAGAACAGGAGGATTGACTGAAATACACTGCTGAGGGGAGCAGGAGTCAGGAGAGGCCTGCTGGGCTATGTGGGCAGCTCCCCTGCAGGGACCAGTGCTGCAGTGGCTACTGACAGCCTCTTAGGTTGCATCTTTTTTTTTTTTAATTTTTTTTTAATTTTTTTTTTTAATAGAGGCATGTTTTATTTATTTATTTGGTTGGTTGGTTATACATGCGCTGGGTACAGTCAGAAGCACGGGAGGGTGAGAGAATTCACCAGAGCCAGAGCGGAGAGCAGAGCAGGCAGAAGGACCGAAGTACACTGCTGAGGGGAGCAGAGGGCGGCAGGAGAGGTCTGCGCGCCATGCGGGACCCTCCTCCGGCGGCCGGGGAGCAGCCGGGGATCGAACCGGCGCCGCAGAGGCTGCGGGCAGCCTCGCAACCTAGCACTCAACCGCTGCGCCACCAGGGAAGCCCTTAGGTTGCATCTTAATCCCTTGTGCCACCTGGGAGGCTCCCTGTGGAGGAATTTAGTTGAATTATGTGGGAGGCTTAGGGTCTAGTGCTTCTGGGGTTGACAGGAGAGGGCAGCTGGCTCCAGGAAACAGGGAGACAACAGGGAACTGCAATCACACTGGGTAGCGGGGCCTGGGCCTGGTGGAATTTAGCCCTCCTGGTGTTAGGAACCCAGATGTAACAGACTGGGGGCCTTAGCAAAGATCACTGTGACCAAACATGGTCTCACAACAGTCTAGACGATGCCACAGTTTGGTTTATTTTATTTTTTGCCTCCAGATGGCAAAGAAAAAAGCAACAGTTATATTTTTAACCTTTTTTTTTTTTTTGAAGACTTATCCATTCATGCACACAAGGACTGGGGTATAAGTGGGGAGCAGAAAAGGCAGATCTATGAAATACATTGCTGAGGGGAGCAGCGCGCAAGACAGTTGACGTCTCCTGCGTCATGTGGGTTGCCACCTGGTCAGCTGGGGATCAAACTTATGCTGCAGAGGCCAGTAGCTTGACAGAGCTGTCCTCAACCCCTGTGCCACCAGAGAGGCCCAACAGTTGTTCTTATAGCTTATAAACCTGGCCCTCTGGGGCCTTCCTGGTGGCACAAGGGGTTAAGCAATGCACTATGAAGCAATCCATAGCTTTTGCAGCATGAGTTCAATCCCCGACTGGCCAGGGAGCAACCCACATGGCGCAGCAGACCTCTCCTGACACGCCTGCTGCTCCCCTTAGCAGTGTATTTCAGTCAATCTGCCTGGTCTGTTCCCCACTCTGTCTCTGATGAATCCTCTCACCCCCTGCATATCTGGCCTGTACCCCAGCTCTTATATGCATAAATAAATAAATCTTTAAAAATAAATAAATAAATAAAATAAACCTAGCCCTCATTATTTTGGATATGCTGCACAGTCTCCAGAGTTCTTATGTCACATAAAAGTCGGGGAGGAGGAACAGACGACTTTTGTACCACTCTAGGTGATAAGTGGCTGAAAAAAGATTATAGTTGATGTATAAGGAATGTGTTCTTGGGGCCTCCCTGGTGGCACAAGGGATTAAGACACAATCTATGAAGCTGCCTGCACCCTCTGCAGCACGAGTTCAATTCCCGGCCAGCCAGGGAACAACCCACATGGTGCAGCAGACCTCTCCCAACTCACCTGCTGCTCCCCTCAGCAGTGTATTTCAGTCAGTCTGCCTGTTCTGTTCCCTATTCTGTCTCTGGTGAATCCTCTCACCCTCCACACATCTGACCTGTACCCCAGCTCTTGTATGCATAAATAAATAAATCTTTAAAAAGAAAATGTGTTTTTTCCCAAAAGGACACAGAAAATATATTTGCCTTTCTTATTCCTTAGTATTGTGGAACAATTCTCACCTGCTCCACTAATTTAAAGTCAATTAAATATCCTGCATTACTTGTTACATGGGGAAAAGTGGCCATTTGTCTTTTACTCCTAAAGATTACATTAAAATGAAATTTTCTGTTTTGAAAAAATACTGCTTTACATCCCTTATAATCAGGGAAATGCAAATTAAAACCACATTGAGATACCACCTTTAGGGCAAGGAAAAATGTCAGGCTTTTCTGCCCTCCCACCATCAGGATAGATGATGGATCCTTTCAGTCCTGAATGCATGCCTGATGGCGGGCACCTGGAATAGGGTGTGGGCAGAGGTAGATGGGATTCACCTGGGCTGAGACGGTGCTTTTAAGGGCAGCATCACGGGGATGCCAGGAGAAGCTAAAAGAGAAGCTGAGAGAGAAGCAAGAGAAGCAGAAGCCAAGAGAAGGCAGGGGAGCCCAGAGTAAAGACCTGCTGGGGGCTGGGAGGCCTGCCAGCCTCCCAGCCCCCCGGCACCCTTGCCTGCCGTGTACCTGGTAATCCCAATAAAAACCTGCAAAGCCACTGAGGATTCTGACTCCTCCTTTGCCCAGTCTGCTGGCTCAGAAAACCTGCTCAGTGTCCATTCCTGACCCTACACCACCTTACACCAGTGAGAATGGCACATATCAAAAAAACAAGCAACAACAAATGTTGTCGAGGATGTGGTGAAAAAGGAACTAGCCTACATTGCTGGTGGGAGTGTAAACTGGTCCAACCACTATGGAAAGCTGTCTGGAGGTTCCTCAGTCTACTAAAAATGGAGCGGCAATTCCACTTCTAGGGATCTACACAAAGGACACAAAAACACTGATTCAAAAGAACACCTGTGCACCTATGTTTATTGCAGCACTATTTACAATAGGTAAAACCTGGAAACAACCCGAATGCCCAAAATAGATGACTGGATCAAGAAGATGTGGTACATATAAAAAAATGGAATATTACTCAGCAATCAGAAAAGATAAACTCATGCCATTCACAGCAACGTGGATGGAGCTAGAAGGAATGATGCTCAGTGAAATAAGCCAGAAGGAAAAAGGAAAATATCGGATGGTCTCACTTATAGCAGGAATATAGGAGAACCAAATAAGACATCATTGTAAAAAAAAAATAGCAGTACAAAACACAACAAAGCAAAAACAGACAATTATAAACCAGAGACATCCTGCAGGGGAGGAGGAGGGAGAGGGATCAGAGGGAGGGAGGGAGAAGCACAGGGGACTGAGGTGATGGTGCGCGGGTGAACTGGTGAAGGAAACTCTATAGGGACTTCACCTGAGGGGGTGGAGGGAAGAAAATATTGTTTAAAAATGAACAATGATGTAAAAAAAATTAATATTTAAAAAAGAACTTAGAAACCAGAGGGAAGAAAAAACACTTTTAAAATGAAACATCATTTATCGCTTCTCGGCCTTTTGGCTAAGATCAAGTGTAAAATGAAACATCATTTATCTAAAATCACTTACCATATATGATGAAAATGGTATAAAATGATTTTTAGGGCCTCCCCGGTGGCGCAGCAGTTGAGCGCTGGGTTGTGAAGCTACCCGCGGCCTCTGAGGCACCGGTTCGATCCCCGCTCCCCGGCCACCAGGCGAGGGTCCCACATGGCGCGCAGACCTCTCCTGCCACCCACTGCTCCCCTCAGCAGTGTACTTCGGTCCCTCTGCCTGCTCTGCTCCCTGCTCTGGCTCTGGTGAATTCTCTCACCCTCCCATGCTTCTGACTATACCCAGTGCTTGAATAAATAAATAAATAAATCTTTAAAAAAAAAATGATTTTTAAATTCTTAAGGGGGTTGACAAATTATGAGAACCAAAAGAAGTTTGAGAGACCAACAAAACCAAAGGTTGGGAGGGGCCTTCCTGGTGGCCCAGGGGTTAAAGACACACTGATATAAGCTATCCCCGCCACTGCGCGGCATGAGTTAGATCCCTGGCCAGGCAGCATAAACAAATAAAATAAATCTTTAAAAACAAACAAACAAACAAAAAAAAAAAAGGTTGGGAAATGCTGTAGGCAGTGGGATGAGAGATTTGGGGTTTGTATAGTTATTTTTAGCAGAACAACACCTTCAACTATGGGAGACCTTTTGTTTGCTGTGTTTTTACTTTGCAGATCCAGGGGTGTCTATGCTCTAGAAAAATCTGTGGGAGACCAGATAGGAGATTGTAACTAGTTCAAGAGATGAAGTCCTAGGTAAGATAGTAACACTGAATGGGGATGGTTCATGTTTCTGAGAATGAAACTGAAAGGACTTTGTAACCAAATCTATCCATTGTCACCTCTATTTCCTGGATCTAGAGTCAAGGCTAACACTGTCCAGTAGAACTTTCTATGATGGGGGAAATGCTGAATGTCTGCTGTGTCTAATGACAGTCACTAGTCACATGTGAGCACTGGAAATGTAGGTAGTGCAATTATGGAACTCAATTTTAAGTTTTTGTTAATTTTGATTGATTTAAATTTAATTTTTTAAAGATTTATTTAATTATGCATACAAGAACTGGGGTACAGGCCAGAGGTGCAGAGACAGAGCAGGGAACAGAACAGGCAGATTGACTGAAATACACTGCTGAGGGGAGCAGCAGGCGAGACAAGAGAGGTCTGCTGGGCCATGTGGGTAGCTCCCTGGCTGGCCGGGGATCGAACTCCTGCTGCAGAAGCTACAGATATCTTCACAGTGCTGTGCTTGCCCTGATTTAAATTTAAATGACTAGGGCCTTCCCAGTGGCACAGCGGGTTGAATGCAGTGCTGTGAGAGCTGTCCTTCCAGCACTGTCCACTGTCCACAGCCTCTGCAGCGCAGGTTCTATCCTGGCCAGCCAGGGAGCTACCCATTTGGCGTGGCAGACCTCTCCTGTCTCATCCGCTGCTCTCCTCAGTAGTGTTTCCAGTCCATTTGCCTGCTCTGCTCCCCACTCTGTCTCTGGTGAATTCTCTCACCCTCTCCTGCCTCTGGCCTGTACCCCAGTTCTTGTATAAAATAAAGTCTTTAAAAAAAATTTAAATGAGGACCTCCCCAGTGGCACAAGGGGTTAAGACACAGCCTATGACGTGATCTGTGCCACTGTAGCACAAGTTCAATCCCTGACCAGGAAGCAACCCACATGGCGCAGCAGACCTCTCCTGACTCACCTGCTGCTCCCCTCCGCAGTGTATTTCAGTCAGTCTGCCTGCCCTGCTACCCTCTTTGTCTCTGGTGAATCCTCTCACCCCCCACACCTCTGGCCTGTACCCCAGCTCTTGTATGCATAAATAAATAAATCTTTAAAAAAATTTAAATGACTATCTGTGGCCAGTGGTCACCATACTGGACAGCACAGATCTAGACCTTTGAGATACCTGATGAATATCTCCACATACAAGTACTTCAAATTCAATAGTTTACATTCTGCCTCCTACCACATTCACATCTTCTGCTGTTTCCCATGTTGTTTAATTTCATTATCTTGTTAGTCATCAAGGGTTAAAATGGAGAAGTCATTCATTCACTCATTCGTTTCACAGATGCACTCACTCTATGCCCCTAACTCGGTATTTTTAAGAAGATCCCACCATCACCAGGTAAAGTGGGAGAAGCACTACTCTAAAGCATGGATCAAAAAATATTTTTACCTGGTTTTAAGATCTTAGATGTTTTTTGATGGCACAGAGAATAGTATTTCTAAATGTATTCATCCTGGCATTCAAAGCCGTCGACAACATGACCTCTCTCAATTTTCCAACCTTGTTCTCACAGTTCCCTATAGTCTACACTCCATTCAGAGATATATCTTCACCTGTCCTCGAACACCTCCAGCGTGCTTCTCATGCTTCTTCCCAGTCTATTTCCTCTGTCTGGAAAGTCTTCTACTACTCTCTTCCATCCACCCTATTCATCTTTAAAATCTTAGTCTTCCAGGCCTCCGGGGTGGCGCAGCAGTTGAGTGCTGGGCTGCGAAGCTGCCTGCAGCCTCTGCAGCGCCAGTTCGATCCCCAGCCGGCCTGGTGAGGGTCCCACAGGGCGCGCAGACCTCTCCTGCCCACGCCCGCTGCTTCCCCTCAGCAGTGTGTGCTCCCCTCAGCAGTGTGTTTCGTCAGTCTGCCTGCTCTGCTCCCCGCTCTGGCTCTGGTGAATTCTCTCACCCTCCCACGCTTCTGACTGTACCCAGTGCTTGTATAAATAAATAAATAAATCTTAAAAAAAAAATAAATTCTCAAGTAAATATTTTTAAAAAATAAAATAAAATCCTAGTCTTCCTCAAAAGCACAAGTCAAACCTGAGCTCTCCCAGAAGGCATCTAATAGCTCAAAATACTCTCTTTACCTCCCATGTCTTTAATGATAGACCTCTATTAACTCATTACTTTCTCTTCCCTTGTATATACTTCCTTGACTGTCTCCCCCCACTTCATCTTGAGCACCCAGAAGGTGGGAATGGTTCTTTATTCTTCTTCAGTGTCTAGTTTGCTGCCACATATGATAAGTCTCAGGTTTGTTGAAATGAATTAATGGGAAAAGATTGAGAGTGACTTCTAGAAAGATACTCACAGGCACTATCTCTGCTCCCTTCTTTCTCCCATTCAGTTCCTCCCAACATCTGAGATGTAGGAATTTCTATAGCTTCAGGGGCAATGACAGGGAACAGTGGATTTCAAAAGAGAGTCCATCACCTACCTCTGTGTCTATCTTGGCTGCCACTCGCTCCCAGCTCTGTTTCGCGGTAAACAGCTCCCAAAGCCCCCAAGCAAGGAAACCCAATAATAGTAGAAGGCTGAGACATGATGGCACTGGGATGTCCAGCCCCCAAATCGGCGACATTACTCAACCCCATGCCCTTCTCAGCCAAACAGTTTTCTCCTTCAAGCCTGTGACTCCATATGACATCACAATAGGCATTCCGAGGAAAACGTGACAGATTTCAACCAGTGTGCCCTGCCCATCTGCTGCCCCTGCCTGCGGCTGCTCGTGGGCTCTGCTCACAGCCAACATGGAGGGAAGAACTCATCTAAGACTGGGCTGGACAATTTGTCATAAAGTGCAGTGAATGGAGGCAAGGTTTCAAAGGCACAGACTGTCCAGTGGACTGTTTGTTCTGCCCTACAAACATCTTCTCTGGCACCAGGCGTCCAGGTATGATATCATATGTTCATTCCAATTCCAAATTAGACTACAGGGCTAATTACACGTAAGAAAGCTAAGATACAGGAATCTAGAAAACTTAAATAAGGGACCAGGAAAAAGAATAACTATAAGAAAGAAAATATCAAAATCAACAAACAACTATGAACCAGAGACACTCTGTGGGGGGTGGGGGGCGGGGAAAGGAGGGCTTGGGGTCAAAATAAGGGGGTTGTAATTGTATGGGGAATATAAAAATAAAATTTAAATTAAAAAAAAGAAAAAAAAAGAAAGCTAAGGTAGTTAAGTAGGTACTCTCAGAAAACATGAGATACATGATTTCCTCACTCCAATTTCCTAGTTGCTGTTGCACTGAGACAGAGGAGAAATGTAATATAAGGAAATGAAACCACCTTAGAGGATCATTCTACTGTAGAATCCAGTGCTTATTTTCCAAGTCTAGAACTTACTTTGTCATTAAACCCAGAGTTGACTGAATTCTCTAGAGTTAATTCACTATAAACAAAATTTATAAGGAATCAATCTACAGTTGGAAGGTCTTTTGTAAAATGTCCTTAAATTGGAGGTTCTCTAAGGTTTTCTTTATACCTAGACTAAGGTTATGTGTAGTTTTAGTTATTTTGAAAGACCAAACTTTAATAATTCATGGACAACCCAAATGAGTTACTGGTAGAGTTACAGAATCTACCAATTATGCCAATGCAGTGAGAATTAAGAATTTGAAGAGTTAAAGCAATGACTGCTTTGAATACATAAAAACATACTGGAGCATCTTACAAAGTGCAAGAAAGGAGGCATCCAGCAAGCAAAAACAAGGAGCAGGCTGACTGGTCCAGCAAGATTGCAGAGCAACTCCTCCCAGAGTTCCATCCCCAAGAAATAGAGCTCGCTCCCTCAAAGACAGGTCCAGGGCCTCCCCTGGTGGTGCAGATGGTTGAGCACAGTGCTGTGAAGCTATCTGCAGCCTCTGCAGTGCAGGTTCAATCCCCAGCCAGCCAGGGAGCAACCCATATGGCGCGGCAGACCTCTCCTGTCTCGCCCACTGCTCCCCTCAGCAGTGTATTTCAGTCAGTCTGCCTGTTCTGCTCCCCACTCTGTCTTTGGTGAATCCTCTCACCCTCCCGCACATCTGGCCTGTACCCCAGTTCTTGTATGCATGAATAAATAAATCTTTATAAAAAAAAAGATAGGTCCAGATACCATAAAAGACAAGTGCAAAGAAAAAACTGAGGTTCAGATTTCCCAGCTAGATCTCACAACAAAGAGAACCTGTGATTAGTTGTCACGTGTAGGTTGACCAGACTGACATCTCTTTTTTTTTTTAATATAGAGGCATGTTTTATTTATTTATTTGTTTGTTTGTTTGTTTTTGTTTATACATGCACTGGGTACAATCAGAAGCGCGGGAGGGTGAGAGAATTCATCAGAGCCAGAGCAGGGAGCAGAGCAGGTAGAAGGACCAAAGTACACTGCTGAGGGGAGCAGCGGGGGCAGGAGAGGTCTGCGCGCCATGTGGGACACTCCTCCAGTGGCCGGGGAGCAGCCGGGGATCGAACCGGCACTGCAGAGGCTGCTGGCAGCCTCGCAACCCAGCGGTCAACCGCTGCGCCACCGGGGAGGCCCCAGACTGACATCTCTGTGCCCAATCTCTGAGCTGCTCAGGACGGCCTGGAACCGCTCCTGTTCTAACATTTCCATGATCTGCTCCTCACTGTGAATATCAGGTCTCAACCACCATCCAGCAAGCTTTGGAGAACTCTCTGGACATCCCTGGTCCTGCCTTGAGGCTACAGGGTTGTGAGGATTCTCTAGTGGCAGGGTTACGAGGTCTTCAGTAGAGTCTCCATCAAGGCTCCCTGATGGAACCTGGACCTGGGGACTTGCTATTAGGACAACTTCAGGCTCCTCTGCCCCATTTCATTTGGTGGTGGCCTTACCTGGCCATTCTGGACTTTGCTATTTCTTTGTCTCTGGGTACCCTTTAGTCTCCATTCTGGAACTGTGAAAAGATGTCTCAGACTCCTAGGGCTATGAGAATGACAAAAGTAAAATATCCCCCAGGCTCAGAAGCGCTTGTATAAGTATCACTTCAGAAGGCAAGGGCCATGGGGTTTGTGGAGGATGAGAACCACAGGGATGACACTGAGAAGGCCTTATGGGACTGGTGGTTGAGGAAAGGGACACTGGTTAAAAATCGGAGGTAGGACTGAACCTATACATGTAAAATAGGAAAAGTGAGCTCAGATAGAGGCTAGAGGCCCACACACATCTAGAGGGCACTATGGCTGTCTTTAAAAGGTTGCTTCCTTTACCCTCATAAAACCGAAATTTGGCTTTTTAGTAGTCACTGCCTGCCTAGAGATTCAGTGAGTTAGAGAAAAGTTTTATCACTGGAGCCCTGGGTATCTTTTACATGGATATTTCTCCGGCACAAGGGGGAGCCAGCTGTCTACTCTGAGACACGTCACAGGCACTGAAGTGTTGGCATGGGTCTGGGATGAGCGAGGGTGACTGATTTGTCAAAACAAGTGACAGCTGAAGTCTAAAATGTACAGACTGGGGTTTCTAGTGTTTGCTGAGTCCCAACACCAGTGTGGGTGTTCAGCACTCCCAGGGGAATCCTTATGTTCTTCTTACAAACACTGGGCAGGGGATGTAACTCACTTTATGATCTAACGGTGGATGTAGCATTCATTCATTCTTCCATTCATTCAGGTGACAAGGGAACTATCATCCCTAGTTGGAAATTCTTTTTTCTCCCCTGGGAGTCTCCTGAGGAAGACACAACCTCTCTCTTCTCCTGGGATTATCTAAATTCCCACCTCTCCTTGTTTGTGTGATCTGTGTGTTTGTGCAAGCATGGTATATGTGTAAGTGTTGGTGATGGGGAATACAGAGATGCTGGAATAAGATTTGCATCGCTGACCAATGAGATGGGGTGGGGGCAAGGAGGCTAAAGAGACAAACATGCAGTTGGGACCAACCCACACCACTCATCTTGCCCCATCTGTGATCTACTGACAGGGAGCTCCTGAGTTTGGAAGGTTAACTTTCCAAAAGAAGACATTGGGCTTTATTTCTGAAATCAGAATACACCAATGAAAGTGGAGACCCATGGGTCAAGAAGGAAGAACTAGCCCGTGTGGAAAGGTTCTCAGGGGTGGGGGTCTAAGGGAGCCACTCCAGACTGGGTCTCTTCCCACCCCAGGTGCCGCTGGCACAAGACCCCCATGAGCTAGGCTGGGCTGGCCCTTCATGTGCAATGGTTTCTGAGATGTCCAGTTCATTGCAAGGGAGGCCCCAGTTTCCAGCGATTCAGCACCGCATTCCCCACCTGGCCCAGTGAGGGTGCACCAGACAGCCTCCCAGACAGAGGGAGCCACAGCCAGTGCACAGGAGCCCCAGGGATGAAAAACGGGTAACAGGCTCTGTGAGGCCTTGGGGATTACTTATGGGGGAAGAAGCAGGAAGAGCTGGAGCTGAGAGAGTGAGGTCACTTGCAGAAGAGCCCTGGAGGAGCCAGAGCATTTTGTGTGGGAGTCAAAAGCCACCAAGATGGATAAAAGAATAGAAGGCAGTCATCAGATTTGAAAGTGGTGAGGAGGTGGGTCTTTTCCCATTCCCCTCCAAGGCAGAACAGAAGATCCTTTTCTGCACCCACTTATAGTACCCCTATTTCACACCTCTGTGTTACTTGTCACAATCACATCTTCCCTGAAACACACTGCATCTTGTAGTGTCATGGAGGTTTGAAACCCAGTACTAAGAAAAGTTCTTGACACATTGAAACAGTGTTTGTTGAATGACTAGCAGAGGAAGGATACCTGTTCTCTCTTGTGTGCAACTCAGAGGTGGCAGGAGCTGGGAGCAGCCCGATTATCATCCCATGATGGCGAAGGAAAGCGGATCCTTTGGACTAAGGTCTCGATGGAGCCTGGGGCTGTCTCTGCATGGAGGAAGGTCCTTGCAGGAAGGTCTCTGCATAGAGCCTGGGGCTGTCTCAAGAATCACTGCGGAGGGCCTCCCCTTGTGGCACAGCGGTTAAGCACTTGGCTGTGGGACCGCCGGCGGCGAGGGTCCCACAGAAAAAAAAAAAAAAAAAAAAAAAGAATCACTGCGGAAAAAATGGTAAGTTGAGTGTTGAGCCAGAAGACCAGAGCAGCTCAGAATGGGGTCAAGGGAAGATAAAGAAGCAGGAGAATGGAGGCTGGGCTTCTGGAATTGGCTCTAGAGGCAGTAGAGAATGCAGCCTTGTAGGCACTCCTAAACTCACAATCCCAGGCCTAAGGGAAAATTAGGGTAAAGCCAAATGACAGACCTAGACTGTTTGGGTTAAACTGAAGAATGAAGGGCAAATTTGGCACATTTTTAGCCATGTCCCTTCAACCCCATAGGCTGGTAACCTAAAACTGAACTCATACACTCCAGTATCCTCCATAACCAAATTTTGTCAGCACCTCTTAGCTGTCCAACTCAGCACTCTCCAATGGAAATATAATGTATCACATAGGTAATTTAAAATTTTCTAGTTTCAGGCCTCCCTGGTAGCACAGGGGTTAAGCCACAGCGCTATTAAGCTTTCACCAGTCACTGCGACATGGGTTCCATCCCCAGCCAGGGAGCAACCCACATGGCACAGCAGACCTCTCCTGTCTCACCTGCTGCTCCCCTCAGTGTATTTTAGTAGATCCACCAGCTCTGCTCCCCACTCTGTCTCTGGTGA